GATGGGATAGGATGGGATAGTATAGCATGTGATACAATAGAATAAGGTGAGATAGAGACGCATAGAGGGACAGAATCAGATAGGATAGGATAGGACAAGACAGTATATGAAATAAGAAAGAACATACGACAAAATAGGATAAGAGAGGATAGTGTAGGAAAGCTATGAAATAGGGTTCGATAAGACAGTGTAGGGAAACTAGGGTAGAAGAGGATAGGATAGGATAGGACAGGATAGGATAGGATAGGATAGGATAGGATAGGATAGGATAGGATAGGATAGGATGGGATAGGACAGGAGAAGAGAGAAGACAGAAGAGAGTGCAAGAGCATGGGGATAGGGAAGAAGAGAAGAGAAAATAGAATAGGATGAACGAAGGAGATGAGAAAAAAGAAGGTAAGAAAGGTTATTAGCATACCGAATTAATGGACAACAAGTGTTCAATCACTTTGAAACAACCGTTGAAGACATCAAGGGCATTTACTTTCCTTTTTTCCCCTTATTCCTGGACACCTCTTTTACTCACCACTACCTCCGAGCCTCTTTTTGTCGAGGTGGCAAAGCACTGTGTGCCAAGCTTTGCCGGAGTGTGATCGGATGGGGTAGGATTGGATAGGATAGGACAAGATAGGACAGGAGAGGAGAGAAGAGAATGCAAGAGCAAAGAACATCGGACAAGAGGGTTGCGTAAGGGATATTAAGGAGAAGTAGAAGAGAAAAAAAAGAATAGGACGAACGAAGGAGAGGACTCGCTCGAGAAGAAAGAAGGCAAGTTAGGACACTACCGGTAGCATACCGAAAAAGTAATCCAACAAATTGAATGTCAAATTCTTTGAACCACCCACTAAATAGATTTAGTGGCATTTTATTTTCTTTTCCCCCCTCTAATCACGAGTTCATTAGGAATTGGACACCCCTCTCAAACCACCACTACCTCCAGGCCTCTTTCGTCATACGAGGGTATCTTTCGTCATCATACGAGGCAGATTCTCACTGCGCACCAAGCTTTGCCGACCGAGACGTCAGCGCAGTGTTTTTGTTTCTATTTTGGCTGGTTCCCCAAGCCATTTTGCTCCAGTTGCCCTTAGCCTCTAAAATATTAGGAGAGGCTCAATCGTGGTTCTCCAGTTGGTTTGGGCCCATGTACTGGTGGTTTAAAGGTTTAAAAAACACCCCCCTAAACCTCCGAGCCTCTTTTTGCGGAGGCAGATCGTGCCAGGCTTTGCCGAAGCACCAGCGTGGCACCCTTAGCCTGTCTTTTGGCGGGGACCGCCACCCATTCGGGTCTGGTAGCCCCGGCGATAGCCCCGGAGAGCCTTTGAAGAGCCCAGAAGAGTAAAATTTTTGGCTCTCGACGTTGCCTGGGAAACGCAGGGGTGGATAAAACCACCAGGACCTCCCGAAAGGGGTTTGGGCGAGCCCGAAATTTGCCAGGCCAGTGAGGAGCGACGATCAAAATGGTCGCCAGGAAATTGCCACTTTTCGCTTGCCAAGCCAGCGAGGACTACCGTCTTCGCCCGAATAGAACGCCCAGTAATTATCGCTGCATCTGGACCGAAAGTTGCGCCAAATACACAGCTATAATGACCGGGCATTCTATTTGGGTGATGACGGTAGCAGTGACTCATGCTATGGAGTCGGGACCACTTTTCGTTCGCCAGGCCAGCGAGGAGTGACGATCAAAATGTTCACCAGGAAATTGCTGACACTGACAGGATGCAAAAATCATTCAATGGAGAAAATAATAAAATATAATATGGAGTAGGGAATAATAATTGACAAGGGGAAGTGGAGAAGAGTCAATGTAGAAAGAGAAGGAAACATACAAAGAGATGATTCAGAAGGAAAATAGGAGAAGGGGAGGGGGGGGGAGGGGGGAATGAATGAAGGACAAAATATCAGATGGGTCTTACTTGCCACTATTATCTCCCTATGAAGCAAACAAAGATCATATTGAGAGAGACAGACCTCCACTTAACGGTAGGACCCACTTCTAGGCCAGGCTAGGAAGGTAACTGTAATGCCTTAGGTTCCTCCATCTCCCCCTCCTCGTCCTCGTCGTCGTCCTCCTCCTCCTCCTTGCCTGCTCCTCTCCTTCCTCCTCCTCCTCCTCCTCCTTGCCTGCTCCTCCCCCTCCTCCTCCTCCTCCCTGATTTTCCTCCCCCTCCTTCCTCCTTGCCTCCTCCTCCTTCTCCTCCTCCTCCTCCTCCTCCTCCTTTTGCAGTCCCCAATCATCACCTTCTCTTCCTACCCTCGTCATACTACTGGTCGCAACCATTCTCCTTCTTCATGGTCGTATCTTCTCCCTCACCTTTGCTGTCCTGCGTGGACTACGGTGAATATCGACGTCGAAGAAAAAAAAGAAAGTGTATAGCAATTTTGTCATCCAGGTGTCCTTCTCCCCGTTGGCATCTTCCTTTACTCATTTAGGCAATCCTACAGAAGAGACACGTATGATGGGGTGCAGGTGGAGGGAAGGGTACAACAAAAGGATTTTGCGTGGGGAGAGGGGTATGAAAGAAATGACGACATCCAGGGGCGGGTCACAGAGGCCCAGAGGGGTGTCGCATTGTCCATGAACACAGAAGGGGCAAAGCATATACGGAGTCGAGCTGGAAACAAGCAAGGACTGATTCAGAAGCGATTGAGGTGGGTGAGGTATTGTCTAGAGACGGAAGAGGAGGAAGCGATGAGAGAGGAATGATGAAGGGGAGGGGGAGCATGAGAAAAGGCGGAAAAAAGAGGGGTCCGGAAGGGGGGGTATGCATGAAGAGGCGTTAAGGATGAGATATAAAAAGCATGAGAGATCGAGGCCAATTGAAGGACGAGAAGGGTGGGTACTAGACTGTGGGAGAAAGGGAGGGAGATATGGAAGGGGAAGATGGAGATAAGGATGCATGCAAACGGGTCCAGCGTCCCCACCAATAGATTAGAGCAATGAGGATGCTCGCTAGGAGGGGGTGCTCTTATCACCCACCACCTCTCCTAGCAGGGGGACTGGTTATTTTGAGGGGGGGGAAAAAAAAAAAAGGATGCATGCAGGGATAAAGGAGAAGAAATGGATGAGAAGGTATTCAAATTACTTCAATTTGATGAAACGGAGACGGAAGATGGAGGAGAAGCGATGGAGGCAGAAGAAGAGACTCAAGAGAGAGGAGAAATGAGGAGAGCGAAGAGAAAACAAAGTGTGCCCTTTCACAACAACCATTACGATTGGAACAAGGGCACATACTATTAGGCGCTCACTCCACTACTCTCGAAATGTGCAAAACGAGAGTGAATCTTCCGCTGGAAAATGGAAAGATGCACCGCCATGATTGTTGTGTTTTATGCATGTGAAGAGTAGTGGAGCAAGGCCCATAGAAGAGTACCATGGGCCCTACTGCACATGACATTATGAGACACAAATTGAGAACAACTGGCCCAAATCGTTTATTAAAAACATATAAAAAAATAAAAAAATAAAACAACAAGGACAAGGAGCAACGATATGAAGAAAAAAAGAAAAAAACAACGAGCACAAGGCGCAACCATATGAAGAAGTGCACGGTGGGCGAAGGTCACGCAGCAACGGAAAAGAATGCCCTCGAGGATATCCATTACCCAAATTGGAAGGGCGAAGGTCACGCAGCAACGGAAAAGAATG